CATCATTATTGTGGATCTCCAATTTGCCAACAAACAGAAGCTGAGAATCATTAATGTATATATTCCTCCAGCTGATGAGAATGCTAAAAAACTCGTTCATGTTAAGTTATTCGAACAAATTAAATTTGCGATATCTAACAACTTTCATATTATTACTCTCGGAGATTTCAACGCTAATATGGATAAACCCCAGCTTCCATCATGGGATAAAAAGCTTTTTAATACACTAAATAATCTACATTTATTCGATTCTTTCAAACTGAAATTTGATCAACTTTGTATCAACTATCCAACATTCAACTCTTATAAATCAACATCTTGGATTGATTATATTTGGACATCTACGATAATGGTGCAGCATATATTAGATTGCAAGACGGTTGAGGTCACTTCACAACTATCAGACCATTTGATTGTTATTGTAAAATTTGAAAACTTCTTGGACATTAAACATAACCGAAGAAATATTCCGTTGAAAAGAGTCTTTGATTTCAATAAGATGACGGAAGAATCTTGGAAACTATTCGGTGACAAGACAGATGCTTTGGCAAATGTCTGTCCTCTCAGAGCACTTGATAACAACGTCTCTTTTAACCAAATCTCTTTAAATTTTTATTGGGACCTTCTCCAAGAATGTATAATTAAAGCAGGTGAAAAAATTATTCCATCTCACAATTCGAAAGGACATCACCAGTTGAAACGACCACCATTATTGTCGAAGATGTATAAAGACTTGAGATTCATTTACAAATTCAAAAAATCTATCAAGACTATGTGTCGTGCTTCAGTAATCTCAGCTGACTGGCAAATCCAAATTCGTCGGTTTTATGCTATTTTACAACATTTCGATATCCCATTCGTTGCTTTGCCTAGAGATCCTCCTATTAGTCTTTTGCGATCATTAGTGCCTCAAATCGAACTTATGCTATCAAGCCTGCTGGTTAAAGCCAAGCTGCATGAAAGTGAATATAAACTCAAATCCATTCAGCATGCTCTGGAAACTAGACTAGAGAATTTCAACTCTGCGCCTTCTAAAATGATTGATTCTATCTTAAACCGTACTAAGAAAACTATAATTCTAGATCGTTGTCTAGATAACTCTTCGACAGCACGTGATCTTTTGACTAGTGAATCTGATGTCAAAAAAGAATCCGCTAGACACTTTCAAATGGCTGCTGGTTCGACACATTCAGATGTTTCTCTTGATGAAGAGTGGTCACCCTTTTATCAACCTGTCCAATACATTAATAATAATATCTATCACGACCTAATGGTAGCGCCAACTGCAGATGAATGGTATGCTGTCGTCCAATCACTACCAAATGAAAAAGCACCAGGACCTTCCAAGATCTCCAATGAAATGCTCAAACATCTCGGCCCAATTACGAGAAAGGCTCTTTGGTATATTATCTGTGGGTGTCTCAACACTTCATTACTACCTCATAGGTGGAACCACGCATTCATCTACCCCATACCTAAGCCAAAACCTTGGGAATATGATCTAAATAATACCCGTCCCATCACTCTTTTGGAATGTCCGCGCAAAGCTCTAATCAAATTATTAAATAGACGTTTGTCAACAATTATTGTTCAACATAATGTTCTTAAGGGACTCAATTTTGCGGGACTCCCTTTCAAATCAACGTTTGAACCACTGCACATTTTGGATAACGTCAAATATGATGCTGTTTATAACAAAAGAGATCTTTGGATACTAATGCAAGATATGTCTAAAGCGTATGATCGAGTGAACCTATATATGCTCT